CCCTCCCCCCCCGCCCCTGATTCCAAACCCAGCCCCATCTCAGTCTTTGACCTTTCCACCCCTCACCTTGGCTGACCTTGATCTTTTAAAAAATATATATTTTTATTGACTTCAGGGAGGAAGGGGGAGAGAGAGAGAGGAAGAGAGAAAGAGAGAAACATCAATGATGAGAGAGAATAATAATTGATCAGCTGTCTCCTGCACGTCCCACACTGGGGATCAAGCCCACTGCCCAGACCTGTGCCCTGACCAGGAGTTGAACTATGACCTCCTGGTTCATAGGTCGATGCTTAACCACTGAGCCATGCCAGCTGGGCTGGCCTCGGTGTTGATATGTCTCAAGCCTCACCCTGACTCTTGACCCTGACATCTTCCCAGTATTCACCTGACCTTGACCCCTTGGCCTTGCTCCCCCACTCCAGCCTCCTCTCACCCTGTGCCCCTCACATTGCCATATCCTGACCTGGAGCCCCAGCTTTCACCTTGAACCCAAGCCCTGACCCACCCCCGACCTGTCCTCCTGTGAGCGCGCAGCAGCCTCTCCCCTCTGTGCCCAGGGCGATGCCAAGATGATGGAGATCCTGCGCTACACACACCAGTTCCTGCAGAAGTTCTGTGCGGGGAACCCCGGCAACCAGGCCCTGTTGCACAAGCACCTGCACCTCTTCCTCCGCTCTGACCTCTGACGGACGCCTGCGCCCAGCTCCTGGAGGCAGAGACCATGCAGCACATCTTCCTGAACAACTACCAGCTGTGCTCGGAGGTCAGCGAGCCGGTGCTGCAGCACTTCGTGCACCTGCTGGCCACGCACGGGCGCCACGTGCAGTACCTGGACTTCCTGCACACCGTCATCAAGGCCGAGGGCAAGTACGTCAAGAAGTGCCAGGACATGATCATGACTGAGGTGAGGGGGGCCCGGGGCTCATGGGGCTCAGGGTGGCCACGGAGACGGGCTCGGGTGGTGGGACAGAGACGTGGGTGGCCACGGAAGGAGCTCTGGGTGCTGGGTGTGGAGGGGCCGCAGAGGCGGGCGGAGCAGGGCTCAGGCGGAGCCAGGAGAACTCAGACAACGGGCCTGAATGCAGACACTATCATTTCTTATCGTTGACTTACGAGTCCTCACGCACCCGTGTGCCGAGGACCTTGTGTCCCTGGGGAGTCAGTGGAGTAAGTTTGGGGGTGGGGACATGGACTCTGGGGTTGGGGACATGGACTCTGGGGTGGTTTAATTTTTAAAGTCGTCCACATTTAGCCTTTTAAGCTCTAAATCCTCTGTAGAAATTTAATAAGCCGAGGCTTTAAACAATTGCTTGTTTGATCTAACAGAGTGTATTTGGACTA